ATATGAATATTTACAAATTCAATTATTTATTTAATATTAATTTATGCTATATTCATATTAAAAATATATTTTTTTTATACAAAAATTATATATTTATATATACATTTATAAAATTTTAAAATTTATTGAAAAAAAATAAATTAAAATATAAATTTTATACAAAAAAAATATATATATATAAATTTTATTATATTTTTAATATATATTTAATTATATTAATTTTTTATAATTTTAAAAATAGAAAAGAATAAGGTATATTATATATTCTCATAAAGATTTAGATTTTTTTTCTCTTAACTTATAATCTACATTCTATTAAAAATAGCTTTATTTTCTACTACAATTTTCACTTTAACTTTGCTATTAATGGCACTACCTATCATTTTCATCATAATATTTAAAATTCATATTAGTAACACTATTTATTGTGAGCTAATTTTAATCATCTTCAATGTCTAGTTTTTCATGTTCTATATTATACAAAATATCTTTTAAACTATTTATAGTGTCATCCTTTTACTTTATTATTTACATCATATCTTAAATAATTTATTTTAATTTAGAACTATCCTTTATATCATTTAAATTTAAATTATTATTTTTATATATATTAAAATTAATATTTTATATTGTTTATTCATTTTACTATAGAAAATAATTATTAAGAATAGAATCTATTTATTTTAGTAAGAATTAAAAATATGAAAATATTTTTTGTTTGTTTACCTATCATTGATCCATTTTCTTTTTAAAATTTTCTTTTTCTGTGGTTCTTCAACTATTATTTAATCTATTAGACTTATATTACAATACTCATCTATTTTTTCTATCTAAGATGAAGATTTATCTTTGATTTTATTATTCATAAGTAATTATGTTGTTATTTTATTTTAGTTTTTTAACTTTTTTAAACCAGTATTTTTATTAAATTTCATTATTTTTTTTTTTTTTTATAAATATTGATTTTTGTCTTTTTAAAAATCATAAGGATTATTATTAAATTATTAGGTGTTTATTTCGTTCGCATTATTTTGTTAAATATTCTAATAAACTTTTTCCTTTTAAAAAAATTAATTATTATTATTTTACTGATATTGTGACGTTTTGAACTAAAAATTTATATTTATTTTGTTATTGAATCTATATTTTTAAGTATTAAAACGAAATTATTTACTTTTTTTTTAGATTAGCTAAATAGGAGATTATGAGATATTTTTAGCATTTTCAAAAGATTTGTTTTTCAAATAATGATTTTTAGGATGTTATAATTAGTTGCTTTAATTATACTATTAAAAAAACTATAGGTTGTTCATAAACTATTATTATCTAGACACATTTTAAAATTGATTATATATTGATTCATTTTTTTATGCTTAACTTTAAAGTTAATTGTTTAAATTCATTTTATTTTCTTTTTAATAGAAATTTTTTAAAGATTTTTTTTATACGAAAGAATAAAAAGACTATCAAAGTTTTTTTTTTTAACTTAAGTTTTTTATATTTAATTAATTATAAAAAAGAAAAATATATAGTATATATATTCATATAAAAATAAAAAATTTAATTAAAATATATATTACATAATAATTTGTAATTATTATTATTATTATTATTATTATTATTATTATTATTATTATTATTTTTAATATTATAATTTATATATTATATTTTAAAATTTCACCCACCTCTAATTATTTACATTTTTATAAAAATTTACTTAATAATTATATATATACCTTTTATTATTTTTTTTTTTTTTTTTTTTTTTTTATTTATTATTTTTTATAAAATATAAAAGAATGTTTTTATTTAACATATTTAAGACTTAAATAATTTAATACATTATTTTTAATTTTTTTAATTATCTCTTAAAAAAAAAATCTCTTAAAAATCATTGTTTTATTCTATTTTATTTAATATAATACATTTTTTCCGAAATTATTTCTATAAAGTTAATATATGTCTTTTTTTATTCATCTGTGTAAAATTATTATCAATATTTATTTAAAAAAAATGATAAATCATACATTATAGTTACTATTATTTTATGTATTAGATTATATTTAATTTTAATTAAGGTTTATATTATATATGTCTATAAAAATCATTTTTTGTTTTTATTATCATTTTGAATTATAATTCAAATAAAAATAGATTTATAAATTAATATAATTGAATGTATTAATTTTTTTTTTTTTATTATTTTCATTATATGAAAAATAATTCTTAAGTTTCAGATTTATAATTTTTTATTTATATTTGACAGATATACTTTAATGATAAGAAACTATATTTGTTTAATATTTAACTATCTAACAGTAATTGATAAAAGTAGCCAATAAACATATATATACTTAAAATTATTATTATATAAAATAAAATTTAAATTATATATAAAATTTCTATTTAAAATTTGACTTTTAATGTATTTTTAATGTTTATATATTTAAAATAAATAAATACCTTATTTGGATGTAGTATATGTTTTTTTTTTTCAAATTATTAAAAAAATATATTATTATTTTAATTTTTATAATTTTATAGCTTTATAATAAGTTCAATTTTTTTTTAAAAAAAAATTATATTTATATTTTTTTATAATATTAATAATAATAATTCGTATATATAATTATATTTAAATGATTTTAATTTATTTATTTAATTTATATAAAAAAATATTCCATTTTTAGTAATAATAATTTAATAAAGTTTAATTTATTTGTTGTATTATAAAAAAATATTGTTTTAAGAAAAATTTATTTACATATTTTTTAAAAATTAATAAAACATAATAGCATAATAATATTTTTTATTTTTTTTAATAAAATAAAATTATGAAATATTTATAAAAATATATTAAATATTTATAATATAATTATAAAAATAATATTTAGTAATATTACATAAATTTTATATTATATAAGAAAAAAATATATATATAAAATTATATTAATTTATATTAAAGATATATTGCAATATTTTTATTTTAGTGAAAAAATTAAATTAAAATATATAAAATTTTATATTAAAATATAAATATATATTTATTTTAGATAAATAAATATATTAAAGATATTTAAAATATAATAAAAAAATAATTTTATAATAATCAAAGTATTTTATTATGAAAAATAAATAATTTCAAAAATTTTTAATACAAAAAACATATAAAATATAAATGTAATTTGAATTATAAATATAAAATTAAATATTAGATATAAAATGAATATATTAAAAATTTATAGTTCATTACATAAAATAATTTTTTTATAATAAATTTGAAATGTAAATAATTGTATAATTTATAAATATAATTATAATGTTGATAAAAAAAATATGTATTAAATATATAAAATATAAAAATATATATATAAAGTTATATATAAATATATATTATAATATTACAAATTTATTTAATTAATAAAATTTATATATTTAATAAAATAATCAAAATATATATATATTTTTTTTTTTTAATATTTTATTTAAATTATTTCATTAAATAAAATATATAAATATTATCAACACTTAAATACTTAAAATTATGACAATAATTCTGATAATTAAATAGATAGTTAAATTATCAAATCTTTTTTACTCTAATCACTTTAATACGAAATAAATTTTTCACTAATTGTTTTCAAATAATTTTTAATTTCACCACAACTCAAATTACTTAAAAAGTTTTTATCTTATTCCTTTTCACTCAAATTTCTTAAAAGACTTTTGTTTTAACAATCATTATAATGAATTGGATATCCAAATCCTCTTCCATAAGTTTCTGGTTTTTTACATGATATTCCAATATCTGTAGATCCTTCAGGACAATCTATTGTACAAATACAGCATCCAACATTATGATATCCTTTCTTACATTTTGGATATATAACAAGTCCGTTTTATTCACATCCTTATTCGTTTTCACTTTGGCATCTTTACATTGCATTATTTAATGTTAAAGAGTCCCCGAATTTCCATGGATAGCCTGATCCTCTTCCATAGGCTTTTGGTTTCAAACAATATAAACCATTATCAGTAAATCCTTCAGGACATTTTTTTGTGCATACACAACATCCCCAATTATAATAGCCTTCATTACATTTAGGATATACTATAGCCCCATATTATTCGCATTTTTAATTGTCTTTTTCACATCTTTAATATGCTTCCTTTAGACAAATAGGGTTTGAACATTCTCTCATTAATGGATCCAATGAACCGAAGATTTTTCCTACTGAATTTGTTATTTAAACAGTGTCTTTAGTTGTTGCAATTATGGCTGCTAGTTAACCAATATTTACAGAAGCTTTTCCTATTTCAGCAAAACATTTTAAAATATTTCCTTAAAGTTTGTTTGGTATATTATGTTAGCGTGTGATTATTTGTAAGGTTATTAATAAGAATAATATGTAAAATATCATTTTTTTTAATAATTTTTTTTATGAATTTATGTATATATATATATATATATATATATATATATATATGTCTTTTAATTTTATTTTTATTTATTTAAAATATAAAAAAAATATTAATAATAGATATGTATAAATATTATATTAAATTAATTTATCTTATTTTAATATGATAAGATTTATTTATTAAATATATTATATGATATTTTTATATTAAATATTTTTGTTTTTAAGATATTATTTTAAATAAAATATAAAAATATTACACACTATATTATTTTAAAAATATAAATCTAAAGTGCATATAATATATATATGATTTTTTCACACCTATTTTTTTTTTAATCATTTAAATAATATTTTATTCATAATATTACAAAGAAGGAATAAATTTTAATGTTTCTCAATAAATATATTATTATTTTACTATTTATAATCTATAATTAAAATAATATTAATTTATTATATAATGCATTAATTTATACTTTTAAATAAAACATAAAAAAGATTATTTTAACTTATTTTGTATATATAAATATAAAAATATAAAACTTTGCTTTAGGCAATTTAAACATATTTATCTTCTAAATCGAATTATTATTATTTAATTTAATATTATTTTTAACTTATAAAGTATTTAAAAATTGTCGATTTTTTTTATATTTTAATTGTCAGAAATTCTATTATTTTTAGTTTTCATTAAAAATTAAATCTGAGTTATAATTTTAAATTTTTCTTAAATTATAAAATAAATTAACTTTAGATAATTTTTAAAATTATTTATAAAAAAAAAATTATTATGTTTCATAATTTATTTTAAAATTTATATATCTATTTGGCATTCTATTTGGACTTACTATTAAAAAATTTATAATATATTTCTTTTTTCATAATAATAATTTAAAATATTAGATTTATTATATTATCACTCACTTAAATTTTATATTTTATAGATTTTAATTTTCTTTAAATTTTTCGAATATTTTTTATAATTTAATTTTTTTATAAATATTAATAAATTATATTATTTTATATCGCACTATATTTTTCTGATTTTTTTTTTAAAATTATTTAGGTTGTAATCCATATTTTTATTTAGTAATAATTAATAAAATATATTTTTTATAAAAAGTATAAAAATAAATATATATAATACATATTTAAACTTTTATACATTTTTTTTTTTTTCATATTTATAATAATTTTGTTTACGAATAATTAAATATTTAATTTCCCTTTTATAAAAACTAAAATCTTTTTTTAATAAAACTATATAATTTCAATTATGTAGTTGAATTATATTAATAAGTTTTTATATTGTTTAATAGAATTCTTTTATATAATATTTTATTTTTTAAACATTAAGCAATTATAAATAAATTTATATCTAATTTATTTTTTAAATTAATTTTTTTTATAATTAAATAGTTCCATTTTTTAATTAGAATTCATATAAATGAATTTAAAATTTCAAATTATTCATAATTAGTCAATAATCATTATTTTATATAAAAGTAGTATTTCATGTAAAATATTTTTTAAAAAGGCTTTAAATTACAAATATTTAATATTATTTTTATTTTTATAGGATTTTAAAATAATATTTTCTTTTAGAGAACAAATTAATCTGTATTTATTATATACTTATTTATAAATAATTATCTTAAAAATCTATAAAGGTTATATTATATATTTTTTCTATCTAATCATAAAATAAGAGCATTGTAGTCTGAATTTTCTCAAATAAATATTTTTAATAAAGAATGCTTAAAGTAGTTATATTATCTATTATTTCTATCGGAAATTTATTATTAAGAGTAAAACTTATTATATATATGAATATAATTTAAATTAAATATTAAAGTTTGAAACATATATACTTATGTTAAAATATAATTATCATTAATATATATATATAAATATATATATAAATATATTTTATTTTAAATTCTATTAAAATAAATATTATTAAAAAAAATACTTTTAAATATAATGTTTATAATATTTATTTTGTTTCATTTAGAAATTAACATTAATTTAACATTAACATATTTTATAATAATTTAAATTTATTAAATAAAAATATTATTATTATCATAAATAATAATTTTCTAATAAATTTATTAAAGATCATTTTTATCATTTTCTAAAATATTAACTTTGTTTTAATTCATTAATATATTATTTATGATTTTTACTAAACTGTTAGATAAAAATAACCTTTCATAAATTTATTATTTATTATAATTAGAATTCGTAAAGTATTTATTTTTCTAAATTAATTGTAAAGATTCCAATATTTTTTTGTTAATAAAATTTAATTTTTAATTAAAATAATTATTATATTCTTAAATTCTATTTTTATATTTTTTATCATACTTTCATGTAATAAATTTTACTTTTTATAATTATTTTCATTCAAGCATTTAAATAATTGACTATTATTTAAACTTTTCTAAGTTAATTGTTTATTATTTTAATCATTTTAATGAAAAGAAAAACTTTATTTATTCACTTTTTTAATAAATTTATATTAATTAAGATTAATTTTGATTTTTCAGATTTTAATTATTAGGTTTTTAATTTGCTTAAGTTTTCAATTTCTATTAAATTAATTTTTAATCTACTTTATTTTTTATAAAAAAATTACTCTATTAAGTTTTCATTCTTAAATCAAAACTATGATGTTTTTAAGGAAAGTCTTATTATTAAACACAATGCTTTTAATCTACTTTTTTATTGATATTTTATTAATTTTCTTATTATTTTTTTAAATATTTTAGAGCTTAATTTTTGATTATTTGACTGTTTATGATTTAAACTTTTTTCTTATTTTATTTTTAAGTTTTATCACTTTTTTAATCTTCTTCATCGTTTTTTTAGTTGCTTATTGTTTATTTGTTAAAAGGACTTTCTATTATACTTTCACTATAATCAAGAACTGTGCTTTCATTAGAATCATTGATTTTGAAGTTAAATTCTTTTAAGTTTATAAAATTTTTTTTAAAGTATAAAGTTTCAGGGAGCATTAACTATTTTATTGCTTTTTATTTTAAATACATTTTTATAAAATATTTTTTTATTTTTTTTTATTTTTATAAAAATATATGATAATTCTTTTATTAATAATATATTTAAGCTAATTATTATTTTTTAGCAAAATTAATTTTAAAAATTTAAATTAATATCAATAATTAAAAGTAAATAAGTAATATAAATTTTAAACATAATGAAAGTTTAAATTGTTTTATATAAATATATATATATATATAAATTTAAATATATATATATATATATATATAATTATTTTATTTAATTATTTTATTAAATTTTTTTAAACTAATAATTTTATTTTTAATTTTATATATTTAAAGCTAATATTATATTTAATAATAAATAGAAAAAAAGTTAAAATAAATTTTTTAAATAAAAATATTTTAATACATATATAATAAATAAACATATGTAATTAATAATAAGAAAAAAAAATTTTAATATCCTTTATTTTTTTTGAAATACTAAAATAAAATATATTTTTAATTTTTAAAAATGTATTAGTACATTTTTTTATATATACTTAAAAAAAAAAAAAAATGTTAATTTTTTTTAAAAAATAATATAATTTCATATTTAATTTATATCTTTAATTTTATAATAAAAAAAAAAAAATGCATTTTTTTTATTTTATTTAATTTAATTAATAAAAAATTAATAATAATTTTATTTTCATTAACATACAATATTTTCTCATCCAATTAAAGTCCAATTGCTAAACCAAACTAGAGGATGCATTTTATGTAAAAGTCCTGTTCTGTCAATATGTTCAGTAACTTTAAATGGTTTAAATTATACTTATTCCTTTTGTTAAATCTTTTATTAATTTTCTTATATAATAGCATCTTTAACTTCTTATTTATCCCAAGGAGCTGCTTATTATTAAATCAATTATTATTTCCAGGTTTCTTCATCTTATTCATAAATATGTGGATTATAAATCCAATTTCTTTCTTCAAATTCACCTTTATTTTAATTTTTTAAAAATGTTTAAATCTCAATTTTAGTGAATTTTCTATTCAAAGGTTCAAAATTTTAACTTTATTAAAAAATAAATAAAAATATATTTAATATTTTTTTACATAAAATCTTCTTTGTTTTCGCCATATAATCTATTTGAATACATAGTTTTATTTAATCTACCTTCATTTGCTCCATAACGTTTTGAAGTATAAATATAATCTCCAAGTTTATAAAATAAGTATACTGTAGCTAATTATGAAATTATTTTATAATGTGGTTAATATTTTAATCTTGGGAAATATTTTTCGAAATGATTATAATATTTACTAAAACTATATGTAAAAAATACACCAGAAAATAATCCTATATTTAATTTTTATATATTTTTAATATTATTAATTAATTTTAACTATATAAATATATATGTTTTTATTTTTTTCAATAAAAATAATAATAATTTTTATTTATTTATAGTTTATTTCTTACCTAAATATTTTCCTGTAGATTAATGGGCTTATATCCATGCCAATTATTGGGCTTCTTCTTTTGTAAAACCATTTGCAATCTTTTTAAAAAATTTATATTTATTTTGTTATATTAATAAAACATATAATCCATATTATCAATATTTTTTATTATATTAAATTATTGTGTAGTATATATGTTATATGTTATGTTGTTTTTTTTGTTATTTTATTATATATATATATATATATATTTTATTTTACTAAACTCAATTCCCTTGGATCTTCTTTTTATAGATTAAAAATATTTGGATTAAAAATTCGTTCAAATAAATGATTAACCATTTTTATTTTTCCTTTTTTTATTTTAATTTTAATTTTCTTTTGGAAATTTTTTTTTATTTTAATATAAATGTAAAATATATTTTAATAAATTAAGGTATTTTGGAAAAAATAAATAAAAATATATTTTTTAAAAATATATATAAAAATAATTTATTTTTTAAAAAAATATATAAATTATTATTTACTTATATTTAATTTGCTCCTTTTTTTAATATTTAATTAATATGAATTTATATAAACTTCATAAAATATATTTTTTAAACAAATATTAGAATTATTTATAAGAAAGTTTATAAATAAACTAAATATATTTATTTATTAAATTTAAATTTTATTTTTATTTTAAATAAAATATAGATTAATTAGTATTTGATTATAATAATATAAAATCATTATAATTAATTTTATTTAGTTAATATTATATTAATAAAAATAAATATTAAAATACTATATTATTATTATTTTTTATAATAAAAATTATAAAAAATTAAAACATTTATGCATTAATGAATTTATGACAGACATAATTTATTGCCAACATAATACTAAAAAATATAAATTAAATCGTATCAAAAAATAATAAATTGCAAGAAAATTTCAAAAAAAATTAAAATAATAAAAAAAATCTACTTTAATAATATTAAAAAATTAATAAATTTTTATTTATATATTCAGAAGAACAACTTAAGTAAAAATCTAAAATTTTTATAAATAAAAAACATTAAATACTATCTAAAATCAATTATTCCAAATATCTTATGTATTTTTTTTAAATAAATTTATATGTTCTATTTGATTTTGTGATTATAAATTATAAAATTATATATATATTTTTTAATATGAGTTATTTTTTATTCTTTTATTATTTGCCTTTACCTTTTTATGGAATTAATTGTATAAATTTTAGGAAAATTAATATTATAAAATTTATATCTTTATATAATGTTTTTTAATTAATAAATAAAATAATAATATAAAATTAAGTATTATAATTATATAAACAATATATTAGTATAAAAAATAAAAAGACTATAAATAAAATTTATATGAATAAAAAAAAAGGATTTATGTGATAGTTTAATTTTTTGGATTAATTTTTTATTTAAAAAGAAGTATTAAATTTTATAAAAAAAAGTTAATTTTGCTTTTTGTTTTGAAGATAACGTATTTTTTTTTTAAAAAAAAAAATTTTATAACTTAAAATGTCATTTATGAAAATTAATTAAAGCTGTATATAAATTTTATATTAATATATATATAGTTTAAATATGAATAAAATATTTTATAGTTAATTTTTTATGTATATAAAATTATATAATTATATTAATATTATAAATTTAAATTAAAAAAAAATTAATAAATATTATTTAAGAATTTTATTTTATTAAATTATTGAAAAAAAATATAATATAATATAATATAATATAATATAATATAATATAAATATATATATATATATATATATATATATAAATTAATTAATTATTAATTTATATTTATTTATATTATTATTTAAAATATTATATATATTTTTTTTTTATTTATATTTAAATAAATTAAATTTGATAACTATTTTTTTTTTTTTAAATTATATTATTTTTAATATTATAATATCATTTTTTTTTATTATATTATTTTTTTAAATTACCTTTATTTTTTTATATTTTGATATGTATTTATTTTATAAAAACTATATTATACTTTTATAGTTTTATTTTTAATAATCTTAAATTTATTTATTTATTTATATTTTCATTTTTCATAATATTTATAATTTTTATATTTATTTTTTTCAAAATTATAAATTATTTATTTTTATAAGTTTGTTATTTGATATATGCTTTTATCAAATCATATTATTATATTTTTTATTTTTTTAAAAATAATCATTTTTTTATATTACTGTTTTTGATTAAAATATAATATTTTTTATATATGTTATTTAAAAAAAATGTATTTATATAATTCAATTTGCAGTTTTTTAATATTTTTTTATTTAAAATTAATAAAATATTTTTTTAAAAAAAATTTGAATTAAAAAAATATTTAAAAATAAAAATATTATTAATTATTGAAATTAATGGAATAATTCTGTTCATTTATTTAAATAAACGATTTAAACCAAGAAAGCGACATTTTACAATAGCAAAGTGAAGAATTCAATCATAAATTATATCATGAAATATCCAAAAAGCATGATATATTTTCAAACTTATCTGTTTAATTATATAATTGTTTTAGAATTCCCTAAAAAGAGTAAAATTTAAAAATTTATAAAAAATATTATTTACAATTAAACCTAAAGATATAATTAACTACGTATATTTTTAGAATAATAAAAAATAAAATGCATAAAAGAAAATATTTAAATAAGTATATAAACTTTTTAATAAAAACTTAATTAATTAGATTAAGTTTGGTTTGAAATTTGTCAAGAATTTTAATAAATTTTAGATAAATAAAAAGAAAAAGACCTTTTATATTAACAATAAGTAAATAATAAAAATAAATCTTAATAATAATAAAATTAAATTTAGAAGAATCAAATTTAATTTTAATAATAATAATAGATACCAATATAATAAAATAAAACAGATAATTATTTATTTAATATTAATGTAATTTTAAATAATGGTGATAAATAAAATTCATCTTTTGGAAACAAAATTATTAAAAATAAAAAAAATAGTGGAGGAAATAAATGTAAAATAAATTTATAATAAATTATATATATATATATATATATATATATATATATTTATATTTTTTAGAGATAAATAAATTATTAATAATTAGAAGAATTTTCGATCGACATGAAATAATAAAATAGTCCTTTAAAAAGAAAAATTTCTCCATAAAGTCCTCCAAACATTAAAAATTTAAACCGTAATGGATAATATAAATATTATAATGTTGTTAAAATTCCTAATATAAAAGGAATTAATAATAAACAATAAAATGTTGATATTAATAATAATATATCTTCAAATAATAAAAATACAAATGAAAATAATGAAGATGGATATAATTTAAAAAAAGTTTTGAACAAAATAATAATTAAGACCTAAACTGAAAAATAAGAAAGATCAAGAAATTCTATACTTAAAAATAGAAACAAATGAAATTCTAAAAATAAAATAAAAAAAAAATCCTATATATTAATATATATATAATACAAAAATAAAATTAAATAATTAAAAATAAAAAGAAAATATCATTTACAACATTTATTAAAAAAACTAAAAAAAAGCTTAAAAAACTCTATTTTTAATCTTTAATTTATAAATCTGTTTTTCCATCTTAATTTTTTTTACGTTTTTTTATTACATTAAATTTATTAATTCTCTAAATGCTTCTTCTATATTTTATCCTGTTTTTGCACTCACTTCAAAATATTTTACCCCATATTTTTTCGCTAAATTTTATCCTTCTTCTTAATTTATTTCTCTTTTGTATTATAAATCAATTTTATTTGCACATAAAATTACTGATTTTTCCCTTTTAGGATATAATTTGTCATATAAGATGAAAAAATTTTCTATTTCTTTAAATTAATTACGATCCGTTACAGAATATACGAATATAAAACACTATCTTTATGTTAACCATCTAGTTCTTAATGCTACAAAATCATCTTCTCCTATTATAAATATTATTTATATTTAAAAAAAATAAAATAAAACACAAAATATGTAAATAATGAATTACCAGCAGTATCTAATATATCTAATAAATACAAATGGCCTTCATATTCATAATTATATCTTTAGTTATCCTCTAACGTATTATTATACTCTTCTACAAATATTCCTCGAACAAATTTATTTGTTATACATGATTTACCTACTCCAGCAGGCCCCATTATAGCTATTTCGTATTAATTTATACTATTCAAGGGTTTTAATAAATACTATTCTTCCTTTAATGGTTAAAGTTTTATACTTTTTGGGTAACTAAATTATTCACCCTATTATTTTTTATTTTATTTTTAGTTATTTTAGTTTTTTTTTAAAAAAAAATAAATAAATGTAAATTATGGGGTTTTTTATACATTATTTTTACTTAAGATATCACTAAGTTTTAGCCTTAAGATATTTAGTATCTTTCTGTTATTTCTTCACCAGTTGATGTGAATATTCTTCGTGCGTTTATTCCTTATTTTTTATTTTGTTTTGTTTATTTGTTTTGTTTTTTTTGTTAATTTTAAAGATAAAATAATAATGAATTTGGTTTGTAGAGATTTTTTATTTTAATAAAATATATTTTTTTTTTTTTTAATAAAAGTTTTTTATATTTTAAATAGTATTTATATGGAAACCTAATACTTTAGAAAATATATAGATAATTTCTGTTAATTAAGCATTTGAATAAAAAGTAACTTTTTACGCTTTACTTAAACTTTCCCCATTTTTACAAATTGTAACAACAATTAGACTTGAATCCATTTTTTTTTTATATATATATTTTATATATTTAATTTCTTGTATATAATGATTTATTTTTATCTTGTTTTTTTTTTTTTTAAATTAATTTTATTAATTTTTTATTTTAGAAAAAAAATATTAAATTTAATGTGAGTTAAAAAAATTTAAATAAAAAACTTATATTTTTGTTTATATATAAAATATATTTTTTATAACTAATAATATTAATTAATTAATTAAAAAAAAAAATGGATTAAAATTTTGTTTAAAATTAAGAAGATAAGTAAAATTGTGAAAATTAATTTTTACTTTATAAATCATGTTATGCAAAATATTTTTAAAAAGACCCAAAATAATTAGTTTAATGTATAGATTTATATTAAAGTTATCAATCATGTTTGATTAATAAAGCTAATATAGAAAAAATATAAGGAAATTATAAAAATAAATCATTAACATACGAATTCATTTAATATATAGATAAATGATTATTTTTATTTTACATAAATACTTTTAAAATACTTAATATTCTCAATTTTAAATTCAAAATTATATATAATATTTATATATATAATATTTTTATATTTTAAATATACACATATTAATTATTTTATAACTTTGTATTTTAATTTACAATTTATCTTTTTATAAAACAGTAAAATAACTAAAAGGCATAATCAGTTTTTTCTTGTCTTTATTTTTTTCATAAAGTTTTAAATGTAATATATGGGAAATAGTATATCAATTTATATACGTTTTGCGCATAGGTATACTAAAGATAGCATATCAACCATTATAGGGGCTAACTAAAAGAATCATACTGATTAAAATTTAGGATGCACTTCATAATTCTTAGTTTAATGTATAGCAGGAGAATATACATTATTGCTAAAGGATATGTTCTGCTTCTTAATAGATTCCAATAATTACCCAATACAGGCATGATACTGCCAAAATCTTTGGAAAAGCTTAACTGAATTTTTAAGTCAAAATAATGATAAACAGATAAAACATGTATTTTATTTATCAAGTATATTTATCACGTTGGGTAAGAATTATTACATAAAAGCATAAATATTATAAGTATAATAATATACCTAATGCAAAGTTTATATCCAGTAAAATAAAAATTTAAATAAATTATGTATAATCTAAAAAACTAATATTATAAATAAAGCAATAAAAAAGAATAAGTAGTGTTAAGGTAAATACTCTTTTATGAAAAACAAATCTCAATAATAAGTAAAACTTTTAAATTAAAATTATTATTTTATTGAAAAATATTAAAAGAAATGGTAATAATATATAAAAAAAAATATATATTATTTAAATAGTATAAAATATAATAAATATAAATAAAAAAGTATAAAATAATTTATATATTTAAATATATATTTATAAAATTTTTATTAATAAACTAAAAATATATATATAAATATCAATATTTAAAAAAAAATATTAATTATTATTTATTACAACATTAATTAAAAAAATATTTTTATATATTATATTAATAATATATTTTTTTATAAATTTTTTATAATAATATATTAATTAAATACAAAATAAATAATAAATATAAAAGTATATATATCAATATATATTAATCTACATAAAATAAAAATATATATAATTTTTTTTTTATATAAATAAGATTTTTCAAAATATAAATAATTTATTTTATTTAACTTAATAATTTTGTTTTAATTTTAACTTTAAAACAAATATTTTTGGATTTTTAAGAATTTAAAACTTTACATATAAATTTTAATGAATAAATAAATAAGATAATCATTAATACATAAAAATAAATTTATATATATATAATATATATATATATTTTTTTTTTTTAAAAGAACAAAAATAAAAGTATTTTCATAACAAATGTTAATATATATATATATATATATATATATAAAATGTTTATTTATATAATATATATATTAATAATAATTTATATTATTTATTTATATATAAATTTATTTTTATTTTTATCTAAAATAAAAATATCTATTTTGATATTATATATTATATACTTATATTTTTCTATTTTCTATTTTAAATTCAATTAAAATACTAATATAAATAAAATAATATTCTATTAATTTTTATTTTTTAATTTATTATATTTAAAAATAAATTATTTAATGTATATAAAAATTTTAAAAAAAAACTTTTCAAATATATTTTTTATAATTTTAACAAGATTAATATATTATAATAATCAATTTTTTTTTATATAAATATTTTAATCAAATATTCTTTATTCATATTTTTAATTATATTTATTTTTTCTAATGTTTTAATAATCTATTTTTAATTTTTTTTTATTTAAGGCATTATAAAATTTTTTAAATAATAATTATTAAAATAAAATATTTTTATATAATTTAAAATAAATTACTTTTTTTTTTTCTAATTTATATTTATATAAAAAAATATAAATATTTAACATATATTTTATTTTTTCAATATAATTTTTACTTTGACAACAATAAATATAATATTTAATATAATACTAAAAATAAAAACAATTAATATAAAATATCATACATATATTACAAAAGAAATATAAATTATTAATTTATTAATATATATTTTTTAAAATGTTTTTTTTATCCATAACAAACTTAAATATTTAGGAATTTAAGCAAAAAAGCATAAAAAGAACTTTTGAATTTAAAATATATTAATTTTAATAGTTCAGGTACTTATTCATGGAAATTTATATCTAAAAATTATAATTTAAATTTATTTTTTAATAATTTTGGATTACAGTCAGTAAATTTATATGTAATATAAATTACTTTGATGAAATTTAAAGGCATTTTTAGATTAAATGTAATGGTTTTTTAAAAATTTAAAAAATAATGTGGATTTAAGAAAAGATTTTAGAATTAGAAGCTTGATTTTATTAAATAGAATGAAATAAATTATAATTATTATTATAATTATAAAAATTAAATATGTAATAAAATTATTTTTATAAATAAAAATATTTTTAAATATTTATTTTTTTAAAATTTTTTAAATAAATTTTTAGTGTGTATAAAAAATTAGATATATTTTATTTATATTTGTATTTTTTTTATATAAAATATCAAAATTATATAAAATCAAATGCACTATCCTTTTATTAAATTTTGTTTTCATTTTAAAATACTTATTTTGGTAAATCATTCATATCAGTTATTTTTTGTTCTAGATTATGAAGAGGACTATCATATGATTAAAATTAATATTAAATATTAGGTATTTAATGCTATTATTAGAATTATTATTTATTTGTATAAATGTTTTACTATTGTTATAAATTTAATAAAGGAAATTAATTCTTATAATTATTATGTAATTAAAACATAATATTATTATTATCTTAATGTAAAAAATTATTGTTAAATTATTATTAAATTATTATTATTAATATTATTATTATTATTATTATTATTATTATTATTATTAATATTATTAATAATATTAATATTATTAATATTATTTATATTATTAATATTATTTATATTATTTAAATTTTAAATATTTTATTATAAATTTTTATATTAATATTATTTTCTTATATATTATTATTAGTTATAATTTATACATCCAATTTACCTTAATTTTTTTTTTTTTAAATTTTCAAATAAACAATTTGATTTATTTTCTATTTTTTTTTATTATAATAGATAATCATCCATTAAATTATCTTAATTTATTTTTTAGTATTAAATATTTTTTTATTATAATAAATTATTTTATTCATCTTAATCTTTTATTATCATATCATTTATATTTTCTTTTTATTTTAATTATCTTTTTATTTAATTTACTAAATAAACCTTTTTTTATTTTCTTTT